AAAGAATAAATCAGTTTTATTTAAGAAAGGACTTGTATCACTAAAGTTTCTTCGGAAAGAATTTTTACGGAAAATTAACTAACGACCAGAGACGTAACAATACTGTTTCAAATGTCCTGTATTACTTCCTATAATTCAGCCAAGTTGTTTTGTTGCCATTTGATTTCCCAGTTCTTCCTATGAAAGACTTTACAAGCTTACTAATATTCATATTTGAACTTCATGAAGATTAAACCATGGTAGTGAATGTTCCATCCGGCTCTTTATCCTTCAAAGTATTATTTCACCACATTCGCTGCAAGCTTGGGATCTCTGTTTTGTTGGAAAATAAATCCTTGCCCAACAGGTTTTGTTCCTGAGGGAATGAAGGAATGACTTGGAGGATAAGAACGTGTTTGTACCTGTCAGCATCAGCATGCCGTTGATCTCCAACTTCCTTGAGTGAGATATTGGAGGAGGGTTCTCTTCACAGTTTACCCCAAATTTTACTTATTTAGTAACACTCGACGAGTTTGTTCAATGAAAGGGGGAGAATAATATTGCAGTGAACACATTCTTATCCTTCGTGTCATTTCATGATTTCTTCAGAAATAAGACCTGTTGTGCAGGGATTTATCTTCCGACAAAACGGTGATCTCAAGCTTACAACAAATGTGGTGAAAAAATACTTTGGTGGATATAAAGAGCCCAAAGAAAACATTCACTACAACGGTTTAACCTTCATAAAGTTCTGATATGAATATTAGTAAGTTCGTAACGGTTTATAAAGGAAGAACTGAGAAAATCACTGTGATACCCTCCTTCACACTTGTATTCACCGTGATACCCTCCTCCACAATTGTATTCACTGTGACACAATTCTCCCTCTGCCATTGAACAAACTCAATGATTGTTACTAAATAATTAAAATTTGGAGTAAACTGTAAAGGGTACCTTCCTCAAACTATGCTTATTTCATTATTTTAAGACTGATGTACATTTCAACCTTTTAGTTTGGTTATCTCTCCTTAGCAGTGGTTTTTGAGCAGCTGCACATCCATTGAGGCCACTTTGTGCTAATATGTATCCTACTGTTTTGGATGTAGCATTCAAACCTGTACCTTCAGCTAGGTCACTGAATTGTAATGCATCATTGAAAGACCACTCCCAGAATTACTTAACATAACTTTTGAACTGTTTAGATTTTCCACTTATCAACTTCTGTTATTAAAAATACTTGTTTTATGTACCCTCTTCGGAGTTCCCATATATCTTCGACTGAAATATGAAATTCTGCTTCAATTTGTTGCATGATATAGCCTCCACCAACCAAAATTTCAATCTCTACACATTTGTCATGTGACATTTCTGTTCTTGAAGTCATGAGCACAGGCATACACACATATGGTGCATATTGGGCAGAAAGTTGGACATGAACTAAACAGTATGAACAGAGAGTGATGGTTTAGACAGAAAGTGCCTGACACAGATTTTAGTAATAAATTTTAGGAAGACAAAGGAGGAGGTACAAAGAACCACTGGACAAAGGAGACTTAGTGAACTGGCAAGAAGGTTGGACAGATGGCAACTGCATGGAAATAGAAGGCCAAAAAAGAAGACAGAAAGATCGCAAGGAAAAGGGGAATGCAAGGAGATCTACAGGAACAAGCATGGGATAAAGCAGTGTGAAGAAGACTAGTCAGAGCAGATAATACTGTGCTTAACTGGTTTACACATATGACTGACTAACTGACTGATTGAAGAAATTTCCATTTAAAACTATGTTCTGAAAAGTATATTTTCAAAACCAAGTGTAATCCTGATACCTTGAGAAATTAGATGTGTATACAATGTGCAGCTTAAGAAACGGAAGATTCTTACACAGATTAAAACTAGTAAAGAATACAATACTCGTTGTTGAAAATGTACACAGGGAGTCCAAAAATTAACATATATTTCCAAAAGAGTTTACATTTTTCTTGAAATATCTTTTTCTGGTGAGCTTTTGTTAACATAATTTATAAACACACACTGCTATAAATCATGAAACCACACTATTAATTACCAGGAAGATATTTATACAGGACAAACATCTATACAAGGTGGAACTATATGGTACAGGAAAAATGTATCTAAAAAGAAAAATAACCTGTATACGTTTTTTGCTACAGTCCCAAGAAAAGATTATTAAAAGAATTTAAATAAAGTGTTAGGAAAGATATCCAGACATCAGTTAGAAATAAAGTGATACAAAAAATATCATTACACTGAAGAAATAAAGTTGCATAGTTATAGAAATTAAAATACTACATTACCAATAAATACATATATAATTATATTTAACAACATATTAATTAATTTCAGAAATAATATTATTAGTCATACCTGGCAGCCTTTTTGCGACCATTGGTCTTCTTTTTCGTTCCAGAAAAAACAGCGGGAGATAAAAACAGATAAGGTATACCCTTGTGACAGCTTCTTATCACTACTTCCCTCCCATCTTGGTGCTTGCTGCAACAAGCTATGTTGAAGATCAAGCTGTTCTGCAGTGATATCCACATACGGCAAAACTCCTAAGTAGTAGATTCCGATACTGGCTCGTAGTCTACTCTCAGGTACGGTCAATACATACTGTGTGGTGTTCTGAGCATTGGTAAAGGGTATGATGAGTGAAGCATTTGAAAAGTCTTTTATAACAGGTTGAGACTGAAACTTGATCACAACCTACAAGTATATAAATTAGCTCTTATAAAGTATTCATTAGGTATACTAAGATGTAATCACATGTACCAGCTTTTGTGTAATGTAATATCGATAAAATTTGTCATTGGGGTGGAACTGAATATGGTATATCTTGAGTATTTTAGTAACATTTTTCAATCCAACAGCATTATCTATCTAATACATGGTTTCATCTAATTCTAATCTTTTTACTCAGCAAAAATTACTAAAAGGAAGATAACACAACATAAGATACAAGATGCAGTATAAAAAGACGTATCCATGTTTTATTTTTAGTAAAGAAGCTTTTATTCCTTTCTTTGGAGATTGAAAAACTAGTTATTCACACAAGCAAAAGAACACAACAGCAGAAACAAAATTATAAAGTAACACAAAAAATATACTTTGGTATGTATTTTTGCTTATCTATTAAATTAAAGAACACGTCTCACAATATTCTGTAATAATCTTACTAATATGGTCTATTTCCTTGTTATAATTACTAACAGAAATTTAAGATTTTATGTTGACCTTGTAATGAATAGTCTTTTATGGAAGTACTGTTGAGCTATGACTGAGGCTTGAACTCCTATTTCAACTCAACAAACAATCATACAAGTACAATAAACAAGCAACATAAAACACAAATTATATAGTACATGGACTCCATGTTGGGAACCAGTCATAACGATTAAGTTTTTCAAAAGTAACACGCTGCCCTCACCAGGGTTTGAATCTAGGACCTCCAGCTTGTGCTAGATCTCTGACATATCAAGGCTATAAGCCCCAATGGAAAACTTTTATCTTAATCATCACAACATGATGTGGAAATGTGCTCATTTAAAACAAAACGTGCATTTTAAATGTGATGACACCAATGAATTAAATATATATATATATACTTTGTAATTCAAAACAGTTTTACAATGAAATATTTTTCTTTCTATAATTAACTGAAATTTATATCACTATCGGTTTAATAACTCAACATTACAAAGGACTAATTTACTTGTCAATTTCTCATAAAAATAACAAATCAAAGGTGTTTCTAAGATGTTCAATTTACATGCCCGAGAATGTCTTATATACAAGTAGTTCTGTATGTTTTTTCAATCTTACACTCAACAACATTGGTTTATTTCCCTTAAATCAATGCATAACTTTCTCATAACATTTTAGTGCATGGTTTCAGAATGATTACTTAATTTAGAAAAATATTTGTAAATGATTTTATTTGTTTGTTATTAATCACAAAAATACACAATGGGCTATCTGTGCTGTGCCAACCATGAGTATCGAAACCCAGTGTTTAGCAGTGTGAGCCCTCAGACTTACTGCAAATTGTAAATGATATATAGTTTGTTTGTTTAACACACAGTTACACAATGAGATATATATATACGTTCTATCCATTTCAGGAAATCAAACCCCAGATTTTAGCTTCATAAGTATGTAAACTTCCTGCTGATCCACCAGGGGACAAGTGATTAATGGAGAACAGGAATTATCTAAACATAAAACAATAATAAATAAGTATGCAAAAAATACCTCTAATTATTCTCGTCAGTTCATGTGTTAGATTATATGTACAATATGACAAGTGTATGAAGCAAGATAAGTAGTTTTCAGAAATCTAGTGGTAGGATGGCTGTCTTACCACATGTGATAAGTGTGTGTGTGTAGCATCAATAACATGTCAATCTTAATAATTTTTAGATACATCATTGTACTATGACTGACAGTTCACGTGTGATAAATATATGTTGTACCACTGTTGTCTCAACTATCAAGGCTCATCAAGTGTAGGCACTGGTATGACTGAGATAATGTTTTGGAAATAATCCCAGGATTGTCAGAAACTAATCTAACTACTCCTCAACCTCTTTTCTCTCTCATTTTTTAGTATGTTTTTATCTGTGAAAGTATATAGATCTTGCTTACTTTCATCCAACATTACTTCCAGTTAACAACATCTTTCAGTACCAAGTTTTTTTTTTTATTAGTTTGTGTTCTTAAATAAACACTGTTATACATCAGATGTTTTCAATTCTGTTATATGGTGAAATATATGGAGTGCATTGTGATGGTGTCTTAGCTGTTTGCAAGTATGTCTGTTAAGTAGGTTCTTGTTTTCAGATAGATATTGTTGCGTATCTGCTTGTTTGTTTGTTTCCGGTAGAAATTCTTTCAGAGAATCTTCAGTGATACAAGTCCTTTCTTGATTATACCAGTTTATTCTTCCTCGATACAAACTTTTAGTACACTGTATGTTTATTGTCAATTTCAACTTAACAACTTTTATAATACATGCTATAAATCACAGCGATTCACAATCTCGATAACGAGTGCAAAACACACACTTTATGGCTCACTAGCTTGAAACTAACAGAATCATAAATTACACGGAACTCAAAGTAACTACTGCTCTCTCTCTGCTGGCTTTCTCTGCCAGGCTTATAT